TAAAGATATTGAAGTAATGATCATTTTTACGTTTACGCAACAGTATCGTTTAAATATGAATGCTATTACATAATACACAAGTAGTACATGTTACAATTAAATTTCAAAGTACATATCATTTATAAAAAGAATAACTATTATAAAAATATATTATCAGCTTAAGATAATTTACATGTTGTTAGATTAAATATAATAATCTTAAATTATGAATATTGTATAAAACAATATGATTGATATATTTACAGAAACTAAATGAATATTGTAAACTTTGTCAATTGTATTAGGATAATGAGACGTTAGTAAATTAGAAATTTTTAGCTCAATAAACTATTATTTATCGAATAAATAAAACCAAAATCTGGAGAACCATAACTTATAATTATCTTAAGTATTAAGTAAAACCATCGAGATAATAGATAATCAAAAATCCAGTAAAACCCTAAAGATAATATAGGTAGGTTTATCCTTCTTCTCTTAGGCGTCGGGAGCTTCTATTAATCCTACTGCAGCATGCTTCTGCAAATGTTGGGTACGTAACACCGTCTACTGTTCTGATATCTTCGAAGAATGTTGGTCCTTTTCGTACCTATAACAGTGTTTTAAGGTAGAAAAGCTCACCACGCTCTCCAGGGACGTCTGGTAGTTGTATATCATAAGGAACATTGTTTCTTCTGTCGCGTAAATGAGGGAGCCACTTTGTAATCCTTTGATGCCAAACCCACTTGGTTGGAAACTCTGTGTAGAGATAAGGCATCGCTTCGCAATTCTCATGATTAGCGTCCATCCAGCCTTCGAGTTTTGTTTTAGCCATATTCGGCTTGGGTAGGTGGATTGGTAGAATTATCGGCATTCGATATACTCTGAGTTAGGGTTCTGCTTTCTGAAAGACGTGAAGTACTTGGTGGATTCTTATATAAGCACATGATAGTTGGATTCCTTTATTTACGTTATTTGGGCTCGATACAGAAATTTCATAGATTTGTGGGCTTAATTTTGCATAAATATTCGCTTTGGTTATATAAATGGCTGTTAGAGGAGTATATTTTATTGTGATTTATCGGTAATATAAAGTTGTATTTTAGCTGATACATCAGTATTCATAATGTTGTACATTTATAAATTTTATTATATGTTCCCAACATTTACCTCGGTTTTTGCAATTTATATACAATCGATGATACGAACACAATATATCTAAATAATAATATTCTAATGGTCGATATACTTGATGTCTATGCGAAAAAATGTTTCCCCTCTCTTCATTTATTTACTGATAAAGTGACTTGCTATAGTCCTCCGTCGCAGAATTACTTCGTTTTCTTGGAAATTTTTAAATCTGATAGTTGTTTAAGATGTCGCGGTTTTTAAAAGTCTATGAAATAGATCATCTGGTTGTCGATCCTGCTCTTGATGTTATGCTACTCAAAAAATGGCATGAAAAAGATAGACATCGCCGAAATAAACTAAATCTGATCTTTGTTGATATTCATGTAAGTTTATTCATCAAATCTGTAATTAAATGTTGCTTTTTTTCATATCTCATACGATTTATACATGTCCTGTTTGAATCTTGCATGATTATGCAGGGGTTTAAGATACATGCTTCCATTGGACATAAATACATCCATTTATTTGAACATGATCTTATAATAGGTCACTGGAGTCTTTTGAGTGGTTTTGTAGTTAAGACTTCGAATGCTATAACTTGTGTAGTAAGGCATCCTTTTAAGGTGAATTTCGTTACCAGTACAACGCTTCTTACGGTCAGCGAGCGTATAAATTCTCTGTTTTTATCATTCGCTGATTTTGGAGATATTCTTGGAGGCCATCTCGATGATACGTATAGTATCGGTAACTTCTTTGTTTATGAATAATATATCCGATTACCATAAAAGGTAAGAAAGAGTTGCTGAAATTTGACTACCAAATTTCTACATAATTGATAGGTGTTCTTGTAAATGTTGGTGAGCTCGAGATTTTTGATGAGACGAAGATACAAGAAGATTACGCTGTAATTCCTTTTGAGCTTCAAGATGACAGATAAATAAATTGAATATTCAGATGAACAATAGCAATGTATCTCATTGTTTGAACATTTTCTTGCGTAGAAAACGTGTGATCGAGTGTTATGCGATGGGGAAATTGGCTGAAGATTTTATATTGTAATGGAAACAAAGTCACAGTGTAGAAGTTATCTTTATCCTGAGGTGGTGGACTATCAATAGAAATTATGACGGTATTGCCTTATTATATACATTTGGTATTGTTCACTTATTACAACAGATTACTCTTCAGTGAATTACTGTATTAAATCTTTGTAATAGGTACTTTTAATGTCATCGCAAGAAAGAAGTATTGTGAATTTACTTTCAATGCAGACATTCTGGATGTTCATCGGTTTCGTGATAGGTAATATTACTATATTCAGAAATTTTAATTATATTATATAATGTATCTTTAGTAATATAATGGATCTAATTGCAGGTTACAATGTGACGAAGAGGTTTCCACTGCAAGGTGTGTTTCGAGATATCCATCGACAGAGAATCTATGACTCGTGGAAAAGAATGGTTTCACTTTATATGTTAGTTTGAGTGTCTTTTTCTTGGTGGATTTATTATGTTTCTTTTGCTTGCTTCTACATTTGAACAAAAAAATTGGTAATGCTAATGTCTATTCCTAAAAATTACATTTGGATTTTAATGCTTGGAACAAGTTATTAGCTGATTTATTAATTTTTACTTGATTTAATTGGAAATAAGCAGCATAGTGGTTACGCTTTGGACCAACTAAAATTCGTAACAATTACATCAGCCCAGTAATAAAAAAGGTCCTTCGTTAGGCCTGGTGACAAAGAATTTTCAAGTTCTAAAAATCAATATGAAACGTTACTATTCTAATTTCTTAATTTTAATGGCTAAAATCTGTCTTCAAGAATGCGAACTGTCACGAATATCAAAAACTCTGAACCGTTTGATTCTTTTCATTTATTCTATACATGAACAATGATTCAAATTTTGACAATGTAACTTCTCGATATCCGAGTTATTTTCGAGACTCTACTATAAAGAAGCAATCGGCGCAGTCAGTTCTTAGCATACCAGACTAAAATATTTTTGATATATACAGAGAAAAAGATATCTTTAATCAAATTTAGACTGTTTTCTGAAATATTATAATGGCTGGTGTCTCTAGAATTAGTGAGTTGAGTTCTTCAAGAACTGATTGGACTATAAGAGTAATGGTTTACAAAAGATGGGTTGAATTAATACCAGATGGTGGTGACGTTCTTCATTTCATTCTCCTTGATGACCAGGTAATTCTTCTTGTTGGATTTTTGCTTGCTTTGTTTACTTCAGTTTGGATTTTTTATTTGTAAAAAAAAAATTTGTATATGTTATAGGGTTCGAAAATTCAAGCAACAGTAGGGAGTGAAGAAATGATTTCGTTTTTTATAAAGAGGCTCCATGAAGGGGGCATATGGAAAAGAATACGAAATTTCAATGTAATATCCGCGAGATCGGCGAGACAAATGACAAAGAATTGTTTGAAGATTGAGTTTCAATCTAACACTCGAATCTTGGAAGATTTCACAACTGGAAATTTCTACAATGGAGACTATCCACATATGCAGAATCTTAGTTACAAGAATCTCTATCTTGGCAACTTTCAACGAAATTGCCCTATTGGTGAGTCTTACTCAATATTACTCATTATAATTTTAGATCGATAATTCAATTTTTAGATGTTTTTCCACTGAAACAATACTTACAGATTTAGTTGGTGCTATTGAATCGGTTGGCGAACTTGAGTTGGTTAGAGATCGTTCGTTTGAGGTTTTTGAGTCAAAAATGACATCAAGGATTGAGTTTGCATTGATAGATGAAACATAAGTGTTTATATATATTTTAATACTAAATCTACTTAGTTTTATTGTATGGAACAACCCAATCTAATATTGTTTTAGTGAACGAATGATAACATGTTATGCACATGGAAAATTGGCTATTGAGTTCAACGACAGGTGGTATTGTTGTAATGAACAGCAGTTGGTTATTTGCGTTCTAAGTGACTGGCGAGTCGTTATACGCAATGGTACCAATCATCTCTAACTATCTCAAGTTTATTTATTTAATACTTTAGAAAATCGTGATCTTTAATGATCTCTAATCATATCAAATCTTTTTTTGTAGAGGAATATCACGTTTCTGATCAAGCTGGCATCTCAAGGGTTTTGTTCAATCCTGATCTTCAAGAGGCACTTGAGTTACAAGATATGCTGTAAGATAACTATATTTTAGAAATTAATATTATTTACAATGTACGATAATGATCAACTGTTGTCGAAACTAATATGTTTTGTATATGCTTGAATATGATTGGAGATAGTGAAGATGATGCAGACGAAGAAGAAAATCATTTGGATATCGATTAATAGGGATTTGAATTGTGCAACTCTTATAATATTATTTGTCTTAATTTCTTTCTTTATGTTTAAAGTGATATCATCGGATAGTCAATATTACTATTTTAAAAACATTGATGACATGAAATATGCTATTTATATAATCAATAATGTCTAAAATTTTCTTTTAAATGTGTCGATAAATAAACTAAATAAATGTTCATTGTCTGCGCTATGTGCGGACCACCACCTAGTTATTATTATTTCTGTATTATTATGAATCTACAATTGTGATAGAAAAAAAAAAGAAAAGGATTAGAAAACTACATATGGAAAATGACCTTTGTTTTATTTAGAAAGAAAACTTAAAAAATGATAATGCCCGTGAGAATCAAATAAACAGAAATTTTACAATTTCAATAGCTTAATATAGATGCTACAGAATATTTTTTTTTATATTTTTAGATGCTACAGAACATTGAAATATAATCCAACAACTAATGTTATTAAATAAAAGCAATCACTTTTTGTCTTTATTATATGGTTTTTATATCCTGACGTTACTTGTATTTAATAATTAATTCCGTAAATGAAGAATAAAACGAATTTCGGAGAAAATAACAAAATACTTAACCAAAAAACAAAATTAGGGATAAGGAAAGAAAATCTTCTCTCAGGGCCGTCTCATCAGATTTCTTTCTTCATTTCTCTTTTAACGTTTGGTTTCGTCTCCAATTCGTTATCTTCCCTAGAAATTCCTTTTATACTGAATCAAGTTGTCTCGTATCAGCCTTAGATCAGACGAAAATCGAATCTGAAGACCCATTTTTTCTTCTTCCGTTTCATTTTTTTTTCTCCGCAACCTGAATCTGAAGCTTTGTCAGAAAAAAAGTCAGACTTTTTCGATAACGATGGTGGTCAATGGGTATGGTTTCTAGTCTGGTTTTATAGCAGAAGCGTAGCTCAAGCAATTAGATTACTTGGAGAAAGTTTTGCAGAATCGATTTGGGTCAAACACTTTGATCGATTCAGCGATTGGAGGGTGGATTTGGTCTTTCGGTGATTTGAATTTGAGGGGTTCTTACTGGAATTTCTAGTTCTCTTGCTTTGGTGATAAAATCTGGTGAGAAAAAAATTTGATTTGTGTGTCTTTGAAATTCGATTGAGCTAGAGAACGCGATTGAAGATCTGGGTCAACTTGGGTTTTCTAGGGATTAGAGTTTAAGAGATCTTAATCAGCTTTTCGGGTCAAATAGATCGAAGAAGAAAGGCTACTTGTTAATCAAAAAAGGTCTTAGATTGGAGAAAAACAATGGATCGTGTGGTTGGTGGCAAGTATAAGCTGGGGCGTAAACTCGGAAGTGGTTCTTTTGGTGAACTTTTTCTAGGTATTCAAAAGTTTCTTCTTGTTTATTATGTCTTTGTGGTGATTTTCGAGGTTTGTTTGTAGTAACTTCTTCTCTAACTTGTTTTGTTTTTCAGGGGTGAATGTGCAAACTGGAGAAGAAGTTGCTGTGAAGCTTGTAAGTCACAACGTTGACTATTACTTGCCCTTGTTTTTTAACCTAATATCTTAGTTTCAGTGTTAATAGCATGATCAAGATTTATATTTGACACTGTGTAACCTTATTAATGTAGGAACCTGCTCGGGCTAGGCATCCTCAGCTTCATTATGAGTCAAAGCTCTATATGCTTCTTCAAGGAGGAAGTAAGCTTTGTTCTTGAGTGTTGTTCATTCTTTGGTTTTAAACCGTTGTTTTTAATTCATCTTTTCACTTTGCTTTCTTGAAGCTGGTATTCCTCACCTGAAATGGTATGGTGTCGAGGGTGAATACAACTGCATGGTGATTGATCTTTTGGGCCCTAGCATGGAGGATTTATTCAATTATTGTAGCCGGAGGTTCAATCTAAAGACGGTTCTAATGCTCGCGGATCAGATGGTATGAATTGTTTCTCTTTGTTTTTCGCTGATAACTTTTGAGTTGCTACACTTGCTTTACTTCGTTTTTGTTTTGATTTCTTCAGATTAACCGAGTCGAGTATATGCATGTCCGGGGTTTTCTTCATCGTGATATCAAACCAGATAACTTTTTGATGGGTCTTGGACGCAAAGCAAACCAGGTGAGTAGTTATGGTATGAAACCTTTTTTTTTTGTGGGAAATGTTTTGTTATGTTCTACTATTCAAGAGCTGAGAATTTTCATTAAGTAAATATATGTTCGTCTCTATTCTCTGTTATGTCCTCTTTGTTCTTATGTAGGTGTACATCATTGACTACGGGCTTGCGAAAAAGTACAGAGATCTTCAAACTCATAGGCACATTCCCTACAGGTACATATCATGCTCTGTCTTGTTGAAAGCTTTTTGCTCTGGTTACATTAAGAAATGCTAATCGAGAGTTGGTTTTTTTAGGGAAAACAAGAATCTTACTGGAACAGCTCGATATGCAAGTGTTAACACTCATCTTGGAATTGGTGAGTTTTGTTTGGGATTGCTCTTTTTTTCATATATTTATGTGCACTTTACATTCTTGAATCTTTACTTCCATCAGAATTCTAAACTGAGATCTCTTTCGCAGAGCAAAGTAGGAGGGACGATCTGGAATCTCTTGGCTATGTGCTTATGTATTTTCTTCGAGGAAGGTATATTCATATATATGCATCCTTACTTTACCAAACATTTTTAATTTGCTGTCATTTGAGATAATTTTTCGCCTTACCCTCGGTTCCTTTGCTAGTCTGCCATGGCAAGGCCTTCGTGCAGGTACCAAAAAGCAGAAGTATGACAAGATCAGCGAAAAGAAAAGGCTTACACCCGTAGAGGTAATATTTCCTAATCTGTTTACAATGATAGTATTGAGAGACCTGTATATAATCTACCAAGGATGTTTTTTAAAAGCTAGCAGAAGAGTCCTTAACTTATCAAAGTGTTGACATTCATACATACAATTGAAATATCTACTTGCAGGTTCTTTGTAAATCCTTTCCACCTGAGTTCACATCATACTTTCTCTATGTACGATCATTGCGGTTTGAAGACAAACCGGATTATCCATACCTAAAGAGGCTTTTCAGGGATCTCTTCATCCGAGAAGGTTGTGAAAAGTTTCAGATTTCCCTTATGTTTGAAGATGTTCACATGTACATGAATTAAAGAATTTATTCTTAATAATGTTATATATTTGCAGGTTATCAGTTTGACTATGTATTTGATTGGACAATCTTGAAGTATCCGCAATTCGGCTCTAGCTCCAGCTCCAGTTCCAAACCAAGAGTAAGTTAACATCTATATTTTGAGTTTTACATTATTCTAAATCATCTAGAGAGCATATTATCAAATCCTCACGGTTATCTTATGTGTTTCAACAGTCAAGCCTTAGACCAGCTCTGAATCCTCCAGTGCCATCCGCCGAGAGACCAGAAAAACGAGAAGGTAAGCCTTAAAACTGTATTAGCCCGAATCTACAGTAACTGTTACCTTCTTATCCCTGGTTCAACACTTCCCCAAGTTTCGTGGTTGCTTCTTCGCGTCATCAAACAGTTTCCCTTTTTGGTTTATTTGCAATGTTATAAAGTTAGGCGCTAATCAAGTGACTTGTGGCTGCTTATGAGCTTATTAGTCTGTTGGTTGATTTTCTCTTTAATGTTTTTAGAAGCCTTGGTTATTTGTAGTTTGTACCACCATTGCAACCAATGATTCTTCTCTACCATTTCATAATGTAGAACAGTTTTTTCTTTTCCAGTTTTCATCCGGTTTTCTAGCTAGATCATACCGTTTATAGACTAGAAAACCATACGTTTTTTATAATTAGATCATACGGTTTTATAATAGATCATACGCAAATCTAGTGATTCAATTCCAGTATCGATTGAGTACTGTTGTCACAGAAACACTTACATGGTTGAGGAAATTCGTTGTTGCTGCACATTCTCTCTTCTCATAGTTTGGTGTTTGAAGAATTTTTCATAGCTAATAGTCCGAACTCGTGTCTGCAACTCTTGTTCTGTATACAGCTGGACAAGAAAGTCGCGATAGATTCTCGGGTGCTTTAGAGGCATATGCTAGAAGAAATGGCTCAGGAAGCGGTGCGGTTCAAGCTGATCGATCTAGACCAAGAACCTCAGAGAATGTACTAGCATCATCAAAGGACACAACACCAGTAAGTCATCCATCTAAAAACAAACAAAATCTTCTTCCTATATGTTCTTGAAATCCTTTTCTTTCAAACAATTAATCGTTTCTTGATTTGGAACCAGCAAAACTACGAGAGAGTCGTCGAAAGACCAATCTCTTCAACAAGACACGCGAGTTCTTCAAGAAAAGCCATTGTCTCGAGCGTTCGAGCTACTTCTTCAGCTGATTTCACAGAGAATCGTTCGAGCAGAGTCGTCCCAAACAATGGACGTTCATCGACGGCTCAACGGACTCAGCTTGTTCCTGACCCAACGACCACTAGATCATCGTCTTCTTCTTTCGCCCGAGCTGCACCATCGAGGACTGCTCGGGACATCACGCTCCAGAGCTTTGAGTTACTCACCATAGGGAATGGGAAGAGGAAGTGAGGCTTTATCGGTGAGTGAGTGGAGGGAACTGTGACATTTTTATGATTACTCTGTTTTTTATTTTTGCGAAATTATCGGTTTTCCTTATTGTAAGGAATAAAACGAACATCATTTGATTAAAAAATTGTATGTGATAAATATATGATGGTTTCAAGTTTCAACTCGTTAAGCTCTTCGCTAAATTCTATGTTCTTAACTTTTATTAATTCTAATTTCGTCTTTAGTTACTAAAAAGAGACCTTCTATAAGAATGGTGTATAACGCACATTTTGTTAATTTAATGAATTTTAATGAGAGAACAGGTTAACAAACTACAACATCTGGATAATCAATATCCGAACAATCTAGAGGCTAAGAATAAGATAAGTTTTGTTGAGGGTTCTTTGACGAGACCTCTTGAATCAAGCATTCTCTACTTTGATGAGCCTCAAATATTTGGACTGATTTGCACAACCGATTTCACAAAAGTAATCTTCCCTTGATTTACAATCTGGATGATGAAAAATCTCTTAATAAAGTCAAGGTGACATGGATCAATCTGAATACTACACCAAGATGGTGATATGCCAAAGAGAGTCTACGTCTCGAAGAAGAAGCTGTTGAAAAAGAGAATAACGTGGCAACATCAAATACTTAACCGAATTATAATTTTTGTTTTTCGGTTTGGTTTATTGTTGGTTTGTTGTATAAATAACGTTGGGGATTCTGTAATTGGATTCATTCAGAAAGTGAGAAAGAGAAGGGGCTCGACTCTGAGAATTGTTCAGAGATTGAGATAGGGTTTGCTTTCAAGTATATACACTTGGGTGTGTAATCTCTTGTTCATATCAATAAAAGAGATTTGTTCTTATCAAATTGGTGTGTCGTGAGCGTTCTGGAGCAAACAATCGCAAGTGGAAGCAGCATCGTAGCCTAATCAAATGACGAAAAGAAACCCGAACGAAGATACGACTCCGCAAGTGTCGTTGGAATCGTTAGCGAAATCGTTGCAATCTGCGATCTCGTCTCAGATCGAGATGGAGAAGGAATCTCGTAGGAGATTTGGCGATCTGGAGAACAAATTTGAAGCCATTATGTCGGCATTGCAACGCGGTTCGTTGAGTCAACAAGAGACGACGAACGGGAACGAAAAATCAATTCCGATATCACAAACGGAACAGGTACGTCATCTTGACCGGGAACCTTGCCGTAGTCTTAGATCGGTTGAGATTAGGGCTCGGAGTTGTTTAGAGAACAGCAGAGAGGGCTTACTGAGGAAGGTTGAGTTATCGACATTTGCTGGTGAAGATGCGTACGGCTGGATAGCGTTGGCAGAACGATTTTTTCAGATCGGTGGTTATGATGATTCAGGGAAACTCGATCTGGTGTCTGTCAGTTTAGCAGGAGATGTTCTGAGCTGGTTTAACAGTGAAATGCATCGTCGTCCGTTTGGCTGCTGGAAAGAATTCAGAGATAGGTTGATTGCGAGATTCAGCAAAGAGAAGTTATGGGATCCTAGCCAACCTTTCTTCAGAGTAACACAAACTAGAACAGTGGCAGAGTATATTCATTTGTTTGAGGATTTGTCAACTCATGCATACGGTTTGACTGATGCTCAAAGAGAGAGTATTTTCATGAACGGCCTTAAACCTGAAATGCAAAAGGTGGTGAACATGTGCAAACCGGTTAATCTGGAGGAAATGATATCAATAGCATATCGGATGGAATCAAGCACCTTATACAAGGTAGTGTGCAAAGAAAAACAACAGTCTTCTAAGACAAATCAAGGAAGTGGACTTTCAAATAATAAGTCTTACTCAAGCTTCCCTACCAACGCTTGGAAACCAAGACCAAATCAGACACCTAATGGTCAGAATATGGCTCCACAGCCACGAGTGGGGTTCCCTCGTCCTCAAATTTGCCTAACTCCAGAACAGGTCGCAGAGAAGAAGCGTTTGGGGTTATGCTTTTATTGCCCTGAGAAGTTTACAAGGCAGCACATTTGTCCCAATGCAGCTTGCCAAGTTTTAACAATGCTGAATGGCATAGAAGTGGAGATAGTTATCCAAGAAGAGCCAGTGACCGATGAAGAGGAGATAGTATGGGCACCCGAGTTAACAGCTTTGTCCTTTAACTCTTTTCTGGGTGTACCTTCTTCCACAACAACGAAGGTGAGAGGATGTTTGAAGAAGCAGTCGATAGTGGTGATGTTAGATAGCGGAGCTACTCATAACTTCATCACACCAGACATGGCGAAACGTGTAAGACTGAAACCTGATAAATCGTTTCAGATGCAAATGTTGTTGGGTACGAGAATATCGGTTCATGGAGCTGGTTTGTGCAGAAACGTACAACTTACTCTACAAGATATCCAAATCACAGCAGACTTCATTGTGCTGGAGTTAGGTAATGCGGATGTCATCTTGGGAGTTCATTGGCTGCGTACCCTTGAAAAGTGCCAGGTGGATTGGGAAAACCATGAGTTATCTTTTATGCATCATGGCAAGTTTGTGACATTAAGAGGAGATCCTTCTCTGCACGAGACGAAAATGTCTTTGAAGTACTTGAAGTATGATACGGAGGAGAAACAAAAAAGGATCATGTTGAGTAATGCAGAGATGAGTAAAGGAGAAACACAAACAATGCCACCATTGATTGTTCAGACTTTAGTTGCTTTGGAAAAAGTCTTTCAAAAACCTACGGGTTTACCTCTGATACGTGGCAGTGAGCATGGCATCAGTCTTCAACCTGGAATGGGACCAATTAGCGTGAGATCATACCGGTATCCGCATGCTCACAAAGAAGCCATAGAAAAGCTAGTGCAAGAGATGCTATCAGAAGGGTTGATACGTCAAAGCCATAGTCCATACTCAAGCCCAGTGTTGTTGGTTAAGAAGAAGGATAAGTCTTGGAGATTCTGTGTCGACTATCGTGCTTTGAACAGAGCTACAGTTCCAGATAAGTACCCAATTCCAATGATACATCAGCTGTTGGATGAATTGTTTGGTGCAAAACTGTTCTCAAAGTTGGATTTACGTTCTGGATATCATCAAATACGGATGAAGGAAGAGGATATTGAGAAAACGGCTTTCCGAACACATGAGAGTCATTACGAATTCTTGGTTATGCCATTTGGGCTTACGAATGCTCCTGCTACTTTTCAGGCATTAGTGAATGCAGTATTCAAGCCGTTTCTCAGGAAATTCGTATTGGTCTTCTTTGATGATATACTGATTTACAGTACGTCGACACAAGAACACGTCAAACATTTGGAGTTAGTATTAACGGTGTTTAAAGAGCATAAACTGTTTGATAATCAGAAGAAGTGTATGTTTGCTCAGAATCAAGTAGAATATCTGGGACATGTAATATCACAGAGCGGGGTCTCAACGGATCCTCAAAAGATTACAGCGGTTCAGAATTGGCCTACTCCGAGAACAGTCAAAGATCTGAAAGGGTTCCTTGGTCTCACGGGATATTATAGGAGATTCGTGCATCATTATGGGTTGTTGGCAAAGCCCCTTACTGAGTTGCTGAAGAAAGAACAGTTTGTGTGGACTACGCAAGCTCAAGAAGCTTTTGATCAGTTGAAAGAAGCGATGATTTCAGCTCCGGTTTTAGCTCTTCCGGATTTTGACAAGATGTTTGTGATAGAGTCTGATGCTTCAGGCTTTGGATTAAGGGCGGTACTGATGCAAGACCGACATCCAATAGCTTATTTCAGCTACAGGTTATCAGAAAAGGAACAACAAAAACCCATATACGAGCGTGAGTTGATGGCCATAGTGATGTCTATTCAGAAGTGGAGACATTATTTACTCGAAAGAAGGTTTCTGGTGCGAACTGATCAACAAAGTCTAAAATATCTGTTGGAACAGCGTGAAGTGACCTTGGATTATCAACGTTGGTTGACACGTATTTTGGGGTACGAGTTCGATATTGAGTATAAGATTGGCAGTGAGAATAAAGTAGCGGATGGTTTATCTCGTATAGTACCTCCTCACACTACTATGTCATCGTGGCTTTTGGCAATGACAATGCCAACAAATCTGCAACTACAAGATCTGTTCAAGGAGATTGATGAGGACAGTGAGATACAAGAAGTGCAGAACAAGATAGAAACAGGGGAGAAGGTGAAAGTGGGTTACTCTTTGGTCAATGGGAGATTGTTTTACAAACAACGGTTGGTCATTCCTCAAACATCAAAACATATTCCATTGATTTTACAAGAAAATCATGACAGCTTATTGGGAGGACATTCAGGTGTTTTAAAGACACTACAAAGGATCAGATCAACGTTCCACTGGAACCAGATGAGGAAGCGGGTGCAGAAATATGTCGCTGAATGTGCCATTTGCCAAACACACAAATATTCAATGCTGTCTCCTGCAGGGTTGTTACAGCCAATTCTTTTGCCTGCACAGATTTGGGAGGATCTATCTATGGATTTTATCGAAGGATTACCACTCTCTCAAGAAGTCAACGTGATTTTAGTTGTGGTTGACCGTCTCAGTAAATATGGGCACTTCATCACACTAAAACACCCCTTTACAGCTGTTGAAGTATCACAGAAGTTTGTAAAGGAAGTGATCCGCTTACATGGGTATCCGAAGTCGATAATATTGGATCGGGATAAGATCTTTCTCAGTACTTTTTGGCATGAGTGTTTCTGTCTCTCAGGCACGAAACTTCGCTTCAGCACAGCATTTCATCCTCAGTCGGATGGCCAAACTGAAGTTCTTAACCGCTGTCTAGAGACATATCTGAGATGCTTTGCATTTACACATCCGAAGACGTGGTCTAAGTTTTTACCTTGGCCGAGCTGTGGTACAACACTTCATACCATACATCAACTCAAGCAACTCCATTCAAGCTTGTGTATGGCAGAGATCCACCCACATTGTTGCGCTTTGAAACAGGGAGCACACAGAACTTTGAGTTGGAAAAACTGTTACAGGAGCGTGACAAAATTTTATCGGATGTGAAAGAGCATTTAACAAGGGCACAAGATGTAATGAAGAATAATGCTGATAAACTTCGCAGAGATATAGAGTTTTGTGTTGGTCAGAAGGTGTACTTGAAACTAAGGCCGTATCGTCAGCAATCAGTAAGCAGACGATTGTGTCAGAAATTAGCTGCTCGCTATTATGGTACGTTTGAAGTTCTGGAGCGTGTTGGGAAAGTAGCTTACAGACTTCAATTGCCGGATTCATCGAAAATACACCCAGTATTCCATGTCTTGCAGTTAAAACCTGTGATTGGAGAAACGCAAATTGTTATGCCCTTG